TTTCTTTCTTTCTTTCTTTCTTTCTTTCTTTCTTTCTTTCTTTCTTTCTTTCTTTCTTTCTTCTTTCTTTCTTTCTTTCTTTCTTTCTTTCTCTTTCTTTCTTTTTCTTTCTTTCTGCTCTCCCTTTCTTTCTCTCCTTTTCTTTCTTTCCTCCTTCCTTCCCTCTTTCTCTTTCTCTCTTTTCTTTTTTCTTTCTTTCTCTCATTCTCTTTCTCTCTCTTTATTTTTCTTTCTTTCCTCCTTCCTTCCCTCTTTCTCTTTCTTTTTTTTTCTTTCCTTCCTCCCTTCCTTCCTCCCACAAATCAAATCTAATTGGTGAGAAGCAGTTTGGGCAAAACCAATTCCCCACAAATTTATCCTTGCTATCCAATATTCTTGATTCCATTGGGCCAAAACAGAATGGAAAAAAAACTGTCCAACTTGAGGGCAATTGACTGTAACTTAAGATTTCCATTGAAGGCAAGTAAGTGACCTGGATTTCCTCCCTTTGTTTTTACCCTGTTCCCATTCAATATTTCTGCAGGCCTTGTGGCAGGATAAATCACAAGTGTAAAAAGAAATCATGAGTGAACCCTATAGCCAAGTATCTCTTCAACATAAACTTTCCTGTTACGTGTTCATAGTCAGCTGATGAAAGACAAGGCAGGTCCTGGGAACTAGGAAGGAGGGCTTGTGAGCCATAGGAGCAATGGTCACACAGCCCATGGGGGATCTTAAAATGGGCTTTTGGGAATGTATCACATTCTTTGTGCCCAAACATTACGTTAAAAGAGATCTCTTTCAGCGCATCTTTTTGTTTGTCTTCTCATTACAGGACCTGGGGTGCGTAAGAGACAGGGTGGCTCTGTAGTTAAGATGCTGAGCTTGTCAATCAGAAAGGTCAGCAGTTTGGTGGTTCAAATCTCTAGCGTCGCATAATGGAGGGAGCTCCCGTTACTTGTCCAAGCTTCTGCCAACCTAGCAGTTCAAAAGCATGTAAAAATACAAGTAGAAAAATAGGGACCACTTTGGTGGGAAGGTAACAGCGTTCCGTGCACCTTCAGTGCTTAGTCATGCCAGCCACAAGACCACGGAGACATAAGCGCTGGCTCTTCGGCTTTGTAATGGAGATGAGCACTGCCCCCTAGAGCCGGAAACAACTAGCACGTATGTGCAACGGAAACCTTTACCTTTTACAGGACCTGGATTCATGAGTACCTAAAAAACAGTGTTAGAACCATTGCTGTAAATTGTCAGAATTGCTTTTTTTTTTTTTTTGCAACTGTGGATGAGATTACTGTAGTCCATGCTAATTAAATGCCTTTTGATGAATTCCATCAAAAGCATCTCCTTTTTTGAATCACCCAATGCTGCACTGGATTCTCGATTGAGGTGGCATCCTACAGTTAAAAAAGCTCCATTATATGCTATCTAAAAAGTTGTGTTAAATATACATGGAAAAGAGGGATTTTTTTTAACATACAGAAAATTCAGACATGTAGTGTACACTGTACACTACAGTTGCTTCACAATACAAAGTGTTAATTCTTATCCTGATATGGAGTATTTACTATTAAACATCTCTACTTTTTGAGACTTGGTGATGTATCATGTGTCCTATGATAACTCTAAAGTTGAGTATAGGTTATAGTCACATGATCTATATCATAGATATAGATTAAATAATACAGGTCGCTACTTTCTTAAGGAGAAAGAGTACTTTGCCATTGAGCTGAACTTACAGAAAGTCGCTCCTCGCATCATTTAATAAGATAAAAAGTTATGGTGCCCTTCAGCTGAACTCAATTCCTGCTGACAGCATCCATACAGTTTTCTTGGCAAAGTTATGAGAGTGGTTTGCCAGCGACTTCTTTTGGGATGGTTTTCAGTTTTCTGAGGTTAGCCAGGGTTGGGTAGGAAAAGAGTAAAGCAAAGCTCTACACTTATGTTGTGTTCATTTTTTCATTAGGAATAAATTCTAAGTCCGATAAGGCTGCATGCTTTCATAACGCAGGAAGAAATTTACATAGATGAATAATAACTTGACAAAATAAATCCAAGTCAACATAATTCTGAAGCTGGAAAAATTCTACCTCTCAATTTCCATATGGATAGTATCCTATCCATATATCTATAGAGAAGAGTATTTACAGGTAATCCTTGACTTCCAGCCAAACTTGAAAATAAAAATGTATGCTGTTAAGTGACACATTTGTTACGTGGGGTTTGTCCCATTTTGTGACCTTTCTTGCCCCAGTTGTTAAGTGAATCACTGCAGTTGATAAGTTGGTAACCCAGTTGTTAAGTGAATCTGGCTTCGTCATTGACTTGGCTCATCAGAAGGTCACAAAAAGTGATCACGTGTCCTTGGGACACCACAACAGTCATAAAAATGAGCCATTATCAAGCATCTGGATTTTGATCGTACGATCGCGGGAATGCTGCAAAGGTCGTAACTGTGAAAAACAGTCATGAGTCACATTTTTCAATGCCGTGGTAACTGTGAATGGTCACTAAACAAGCTCTTGTAAGTTGAGAACTAACCTGTAGTTTATCTAACTTCTCCAAAGTTGTACCAACCAGAAAGAGATTTCCCAGCTCTGTGAGAACTCACCCTCGCAAGGTATCAGGTTGTATTCCATCCCTAAATAAGGATTTCGATCACTAAAAACTTTTGGCAAAGTGAACGTTCTGAGTCTGCAAAATTCCCCAAATATTGCTAAATATTACTTTCCGCCAAACTAAAAGCAAAGTATATGTGAAAGAAGTCAAGAGGAAGTACATGAGCTTCAACACAAATAAAGGTAAAGGTTCCCCTTGCACATATGTGCTAGTCGTTTCCGGCTCTAGGGGGCGGTGCTCATGTCTGTTACAAAGCCGAAGAGCCACCGCTGTCTGAAGACGTCTCTGTAGTCATGTGGCCGGCATGACTAAATGCTGAAGGCGCACGGAACGCTGTTACCTTCCCACCAAAGTGGTCCCTATTTTTCTACTTGCATTTTTACGTGCTTTCAAACTGCTAGGTTGGCAGAAGCTGGGATAAGTAACGGTAGCTCACTACATTATGTGGCGCTAGGGATTTGAACCGCCGAACTGCCGACCTTTCTGTTCCACAAGCTCAGCGTCTTAGCCACTGAGCCACCGCGTCCCACCCAACACAAATATAGAATTCCCCAAAATTGTCAGAAGAAGTTATTCATAGTTTTGAAAGCACAATGCTTATTTTTTTAAAGAAAAAGAAAAAATCCATGGGGATTTTTAAAATGTTTTCAGTGAGGATTTTGATTTTTTTTTTTTTAAATAAAAGTATCCCCTTGGGCTTTTTTTTTTTCTGAATATTGAATGGCAGATAAAAAGACAGTGGTAGAGATCCTTTTTTTTTTTTTCTTGAGATTCTTGAGGTGAACATGAAGGACTTTACTGCTTTGTTTCCTATCACAGAAGTTAAACTGACAGTCAGTTTCTCCATGCAGATATGTCAATTATTTCGATAACCAAGAGTTGATAGCATCAGAGAAGCTTGGGCCAAATGTTGGTTACACAAGAAGAGCAGTAGAAGAAAAAAAAGTACTAGGATTAAACTACAGGGTTACCTCAACATGCTTTATTTGGGGGGATTTGACTGAGGGCCCAATTGCCCTCATTGTTAAATAAATCACACCTGATTTGTGAACTACAATAATAGTTGATCATGTGATCTTTGAATATGGTAATTTTCCAAGGTTTTTTTTTTAAAAAAAATATGCCTCCTTCAGCAAAATAATACAAAAACAATATCCAAACAAAAATATATTTTGCAAAATTTTATCGATGTACATCATTAAGAGGGAGAGAGATGTTGGTATCAAATAAATATTAGTCTAAAAAGCTGACTGTAATTCTTTAAACTGTTATAGAAGACCTGACTGTATTTTTTGTAACAAATTTGCAGAAACTCTTCTGAAAAGTAAGAGAAAAAATAACTATTTTGCTTAAATTTAGTTTACTGTCCTTTTACAGTGAGACACATTACTTTGAAAAGCTGCTGTAAATCAGCTGAAAAAATGACTTGGTTTATCAACTCTCTTTAGGAAAGGGAAGATTTAAATATAACAAACAAGAGAGACTTCTCATCATTATTCTTGGATCTGGTTCTTAGGTTTGCCATAAATTGACAACTTGTATCAGCCTTTAAAATAATCCCAGAGTTGAAAGGAACTTTGGACATCTTCTAGTCCAACCCTCTACTCAAGGAGGAGAGTCTATACCATTTGAGACAAGTGACTATCCAGTCTCTTCTTGAAAGCCTCCAGTGATGGAGCACCCACAACTTATGACGGCAACATATTTCACTGGAAAATTGTTCACACCGTCAGGAAATTTCTCTTTAGTTCTAGGTTGGTTCTCTCCTTGATTAGTAACCCTTAGTAATTAGTAATCCTTGATTTAACTAACCCAGTAGAAATAGCAGCAACTTCAGCAAAGGTGAGTGGCCTGCACCTTTGTCACCTGGTATGGTAGAAGAAGACTGGCCAAATCCAGAACAAAAATGTCAGGGAATTAAAGCTCAAGAAAAGAGCAATGTACTTGCTTACTAGGCAAAGGCTCAGTACGGTTCAGATGATATATCTTTTTCAGATAATCATGTTCAATTTCATTGCTGGTTCTCTGAAAGCAGATTTCCAACCCATAGCACCCTGGAACTTGAATATATAGAAACATCTACATCTTTGATCCAAATATGAAATATTTTGGTCAATGGCTGGAAGACTGGAAATCAGCTATCAAGGAACACCTAACAGTATTCCATTTCTTAAGGTTTCGTTTCCATTTTTCACATTTGTTAAGAAGAAGATACCTCCACTTTATTTTCAAGGCTGAGTTATGGTTTGACTCTTGATCTTTTTTCAAGAAATATTCAGTTTGGAGTGTTTGTTTTTACAAGAAGTAGTTCTTTTTAATGGGCAACATTTGTTTATTGTTAAGCATCTTTAACTGTTTCTTCTTTTTTGTATTTTCTGTATTCTTCTTTACAATAATAGACAATAACCAATATATGTAAATTAGCTCTTGGATCTCTTATTCCTGATATCTCATTCCTCAAATCCAGATTGCAAAACAGCTATCTAATATTTATCTAATTCTCCAAAGGGTATTGATTAATTGTAGAGTGTAGAATTGTGAAGTCAAAAATAAAAAAAGAACCTTGTCTTTCTTATCGCACTCTTCATGATTAGATTTCATTATTTCATTTGCTTCATTCTTTTGAAAAGGTTAAAAATAGAAATTCAAGATTTGCTTCCAGGAGAATTCTGGCTTCTTATCTGCAGAAAATGAAGCACTGCTAAATAGCAAGTTGTCATTTGCAAATGTTCAGATAATACACTGCCACAATTCCATTTGGTGAATGGCAGAGAATGGCCAGCCAGAAATCTGAGCAGAGAAAGGCCTTCTGATCAAGTTTCCCACTGAGGCACATTTCATATTGAAACTCTTATAATCTACCATGATAGAAAATAGAGATGGTTTGAAATGTTCTGTGTACTTCCTACTGCTCTCAGAATATGAATGGGGTAAAGTAGTATAAAGCCAAAGTTCAATGTTCTAATACTGATTTCCCAAATGATTCTGTTCATTGGTCAAAAGTAGTAAACAATAGCAATAGCAATAGCACTTAGACTTATATACTGCTTTATAATGCTTCACATCACTCTCTAAGTGGTTCACAGAGTCAGTATATTTCCCCCCCGGGTCCTCATTTTTCCAGCCTCAGAAGGATGGAAGGTTGAGTCAATCTGGAGCTGGTCAGGATCAAACTCTTGGCAGTGGGCAGAGTTAGCCTGCAATACTGCATTGTAATGATGGTGCCACCAGGGCTTTTAGTTCAATATTCCTCAAGCAATAGAAATCAGTCTTGAAACCTGTGTTTGTGCTGCTTGTATTCTAGAATTCTCTTTCCAGGCAGATTCTGAAAGTCCAATTTTTAGAAGATCTCAGATTTTTAAATTAAAGATAGTCTTTGGGGTCTTCATAGACAGTATGTCATGAAAAATAAAGCTAATTATTATTTACTCTATCTGAGTGAGAGTGAGTGAGTGAGTGAATGAATGAATCAATCAATTGAATTAATTAATTAATGAGTGAATCAATCAATCAAGTGAATTAATTAATTAATTAATAATCCAAAATTAACATGTTGTTAGTATCTTTGGAAATGATTCTCTATATACCTATCCTTTAAATTCTACAACATTTGACTGGAAGTAAAAATAAATATATTTTGTTACAGTGGCATAGGAAAAATGTATTTCCTATAAATTCCTATTTTCATAGGTACTTAAAGAATGAAATTTACCCTGGGCATCAGGCAGAACATAAAATGCTGATGACAGTTTACTACTATACATCAGTGGTGGGATTCATTTTTTTTTTACTACCGGTTCTGTGGGCGTGGCTTGGTGGGCGTGGCTGAGGGAAGGACACTGTAAAATTTCCAGTCAGAGGTGGTATTTGCCAGTTCTCTGAACTACTCAAAATTTCTGCTACCAGTTCTCCAGAACTGGTCAGAACTTGCTGAATACCACATCTACTATACATGTATCTATCATTTTCTGCATGTGTACTTCATAGCATTTCCATGACAGAACATGATGCTAATCATCTAATGCTACCAAGCAAAGAGGAAGGAAGGAAGGAAGGAAGGAAGGAAGGAAGGAAGGAAGGAAGG